TTTATTTTTTCCAATTTGGTAGCTGCCAAAAAAAAAAAAAAAAGAAAAGAAAGACAAAAAGACTAAATTTGTAATTTTTTTCCCTGAAAAATGTTCAGTGAATTGAAATGAACTTTAAAAGAAAATTTGTCTCAAGTCAGACAAAACATATTTGTTCAACCCAAAATGAATTGCTTAGATTGGGCACTGCTTTAATTGAAGAAAGGGGTAGTTTCACAAGGCCAGGGAGAAAAGCTCTTCCCCGCTTTCAGCTTATATTCTAAAATGAGGATGCTTCCCTGGGATGTGGGAAAGCCAGATTCATGAAGCCCACTTTCTTCTGGATTCAGAGTAGGGTCTAGAATGCCTTCTTCTCCCATGCAGTGGAGTAATCAAGCCATCCAGCTATAAATTATTCCAAAGTCAGGGCCTATCATTTGTTTCTGTTAAAGCGTTTTCAATCTATATAAGTAATTATATGTTATTTAAGTAGAAAAACAAGAGGAAGTGTTAAAAAGAAAGGATATCTCTGTGGCCCAGCGGTCAGCTACTTTCCCAGAAGGTTGAAAAAAAGAGGTTCAAATCTGTCAGTGAAAGAAGGGGCAGATTGCGCCTACAACTAACACGACAGGTGTGGCTACTAGATACAAAAGTAGTAACATCCCCTCCCTTCCAGGCTAGTAGAATGAATGGCACCTAATGCCTAATTTACTTGTGAACCTAGGCCAAAAAGCAAAACATTTTGCTTTAGTATTTCCAAAGATTTTTTTCCCCCATTTTCTTTGGCATAAATGGTGTGTTGAATTTGATCCAAATTCATGGAGTTTCAGGTCAACCAAAGCAACTATTGCAGAGACTAAGGCATTCAGCAATTGAATTTGCACTGCCCCAAAGGTCACTGGGCTATCACCAGAGCTAAACTAGGCTCTCTGGGCATGATTTTCAGTTGTGTTGAGTGCTGGTGGTTGCTAAAGATTTCCAGTAGATTTGAACCAGGGCTGCCAACTGACCCTAAATTTACATTCCATAAAAAAAAAACAGGCTGAAAGTGCCCGTCTGTAAATTCCATAAGAAAACAGTTCCTTCCAGAAATCACGAAATAAAAACAGTGCAGCAAAATCAGCTCCATAAAAGCAGGGAGCTCATTGAAGCTCCATGGTTGGAAACCAAGCTGGACACATAGAGAACAGCAATGCCACCTGGTGTCTGAACTGGAGTGCAGCACCCAGGAGGTAATTTCTCAGGGCTTTGTGGCTTCTTCCCCAACCCCCAGCTATTGCTCATGCTGATGCTGCTCCTGGAGCTGCCTTCTGTCTGCCTGTAAAAATGCTGGGTGGCAGGTAGGCAAACGATAGTTGTTCTTTGGGGATTTGTGTTGGGACAGGGGAATGGGGCTGGCAGGAGTAAGGTGGAGGGTGGTACGTTGCAGGGGTTGCATGGTGTAGGTTGTAGTCAGGGGTACCAAGGTGTGGGGGTGAGTATGGGACCCCTGGGATGAGGGCATCAGGGGTCAAACCAATGCTGTAGTCAAGTAGGGTTATCAACCCAAGACCATTTTTTTTTTACTGATAATCTCCAAACTTTCATTATGGTTTGAACCCAGCCTTTGTCCAATATTTAGCAGAAGAGTTACGTTTACATTATGTAAAACATATGT